TAACATGTTGGTTTCGAGGTTGATATTGTTGCTCAGCCAAAGCAATTAACTCAGCAAGTTGTTGAACCTTCGCTTCAATCGGTCGAAAGCAATGGTCCCATCATGCATCTCGTGTACTTTATTCTATTTTTATAGACTTCTTCAACAATGACATTTCAACTATCATGCACTCCGTGTTATGCTATGGTTAGGACTCAAGCACAAGCTCTGATACCAACTGATGCAAGGAATTGTATGGAATGAACGAAGACACAAGGAAATACAAGAACAATAAAGAATACAGAACAATTTTCTCTAAATCTGTTAACTCGAAAACAACTAAATAGCTTCAAAGGCTTACAACTCAATTTATAGCAAACATTGTTTGGTGATTAAGCCACAATCCACATCTCAAATCAAGCCAAAGTTACATAAAGTTAAAAATCACCAAAAATAGTAGATTTGAGATAGGCTCAAATTTGGATTCTAGAATATAAAAGAATTTTCCTGGAAAAAACGTGACTCAAAGGATTTGTTTAGACTTCGAAATTAAGCATTTCCAAAAATAGTAAATTTTCTAATTCAAAGGCCCAAACAATGGAATTCGCCACAAAATCAGTATAGATCTTCGTGTAGTAGTGATTTGAACTTGTTGGGCCATTTCGAATTGAATATGGCCATTTTTGGCTTGACCAACAACCTTGGAAAATCTGCAAAATTATTGTTTTTCCATCGAACGGTCAAACTATTTTATAAACTTGCTGTCAATCACCATTGCATCATCTTTTCTATGTCGGAAAGAATTTGTCCTTGAATTCAAATCTTCATCAAGTAAGCTATGTCCCTTACATGGAATCTAGTGCTTTTATACACATAAGAATTACAAATGACTTGGTTTCTTCAACCTGTATGCATTGGAGTTGATCTTCTCAATAATTGCAGAGGTCAATGTTCTTGGTAGCTAGCTTGTTTACTCTCTAGTCGAGAACCTTATCATTTGTGAGGACAACATACGAAAAATCGCCCACATCAAATTCCACAACTCGCCTCTTTTTTCTCGTTCATTGTACTTTGTGATAGTCTCTAGTAAATTTTGTTGTGTGGCCTTGCGGAGTTACTGCAACTACTTGATGAAGTCCTCGACCTTGCCATGAAGCCTTTGCAAATCTGAGATTGGTGCGAGAGAATGATTGAAACTAGTGATACAATTATTGAAAGCGAACTCGGTTGCACAGTGGCAACAAGTCAAATTAACCAGGGCAGGGCAGGGCAAGGCAAGGCAAGGGAAGAATAAGATCAGTTCGCGAGAGAATTGAAGTAGCACATGCGTGCTGCTTTCTTGCCTCATAACTATGCTTGATTGATGTATCGAAGGTTGCAGAACTTACACTAGGGTAAGTGCTCTTTCAATGATTATATGCTTGAGTTTTACTAGCTAATATCTAGGAATGATCTTGTGAGAACTGATGACTTCATCAAGCAGTTGCAACAAGTCAACAAGGCCACTCGATAAAAGTTACTGGAGATTACTGCTAAGTACAAAGAACGAGTAGACAAAAAAGGCGACTTGTCGAAGTTGACGTGAGAGATTTTGTGTATGTTGTCCTTATGAAGGATAGGTTCTCGAATAGAGAGTACAATAAACTAGCTTCCAAGAAGATTGGGTCTTTGGAGGTTATTGAGAAGATCAATCCCAATGCATACATGTTGAAGCTAGCAAGCCATGTTCGGACTTTTGATGCATTCAACATCAAGCACTTGATTCCATTCTAGGGGTGATATCTCATTTGATGAAGATTCAAACTCAAGGGTGAATTCTTTCCTAGTTTGGGAGAATGATGCAGTTTGATCGTTTGATGCAAAAATGGTTAATTTTTTTTGTTTTCCAAGGCTGTTGGATCATGCTCAAAACATCCAAATTCGATCAGGATTGGCCCAACAAGTTCAACTCACACCTAAGTGGTGGCCTGTGTTGGATTTTGGGCAAATTACATCACTTATGCATTCAAATTAGAAAATTTACTATTTTTCGAAAGATTTGAATGCTTCATTTCAGAGTCTAAACAAGCCCTTTGAGTCACTTTTTTTTTTTTTTGTTGTAGAAAGCTACTGTTATATTCTAGATTCTATATTTGAATCTAACTCAAATGTGCTATTTTTGGCAGTTTTTTGATTTTATGTAATTTTGGCTTGATTTGGGGGGTGGATTGTGGCTTGGTCACCAATCAATGTTTATTATAATTTGAGTTGCTAGCCTTTGAGGCTATTAAGTTGTTTTGAGTAATAAAATTTTAGAGAAATTGTTATTTTTTTTGTATTTTCTTGTGTGTTCGTTCATACCATAAACTTCCCTGCTTCACTTAGGTCTATAGGAATGGCATGGTAAACAATTGTGGAAATCATGTGATTTCACTTTCCCTTAATAAGGACTAAGGCTTGCGGTTGGACTACTGGTGCACGGTGTCAACTCAGTAGGACTTAGATGCTTTGCTGAATGCTAGTAAAGTCCTTTAATGTAGTTCAATTTGAACTTCGAAGAGATTTTTTCTGATATGGGTCACGTGTCTCCTGAGGGCTAACATGTGCTAGGTATTGAGCTGACATGCCAACTACACGTCGCCATCCACGTGTATACAACATGTGATGTAGGATATATCCAGAGCCAGCAAGTATAGAATTGAGGGTATAATCATGTTTATTAACCACTTTTACTACATTGGATGATGTCTTCCATATTCTATGTACCTCGACTTTCATTAGTAGATTTTCTCCTACATTCTTGTGTTTAAACTTAGACTATGTACTCTAGATTATCTACTTTGTAAACAACTTATCCCAGCACATTTTGCATCCACCAGCTACTTATTAATGTACTATGAAGAGAGGAGGTGAGGCCCCATGGACAACCCTTGATTGACTTCCTAGAACACTGTTTGTTTACAAACTTGCATGTCAGTGATCTAGGACAGCTTCAGTGAAACTTGGAATAAGGTTGCACACAGTTAATTTTCGTCGTGGATTTTGGAGCAAGGAAAGTTTTGAGATTATTGATAAAAAAGGTAGACCAAATATTCTACGGTTTGTAGGCGGGGAGGTGGATGCAGTTTGGTTGATTTTAACAGTGGTAGGTTGATGGATTTGTAGAAAATAATGACTGGAATTCTGTGGATGATAACTATTTTATGCTGCGTTTGGTCCTTGGAACTGGCAAGGAAAGGGAGAGAAAAATGAGAAGGAAAATTGTTTTCAATCATGTTTGTCTCGTAGTTGAGAAAAAGGTTAGATTAACAAATTTTTAAATGAGGATAAGAAATCACGAAAAAGAGAAAAGATATCTATAGCTGAATTTGTCTCAGATTTTTGTCATTTTTTCAAATAAGTAAAAAAGCCACCTTTACTTTTTATTTTTTATTTTCCTCACTGAATCCATTGATCAAATAAAGCTTTACGGGTTTCAAGGATGGAGCTAGAGGCCAAAGGGTAGGGTAGGGAAAACAATTGCATTGATTTATGTTTGATTGGATAAGGTTTTGGAGCTGTTATATGAGCCATTTGGTGTGTAAGCAATTTTTGAGTAGTGATTTTGCACCTTTGTGGAGAGGAGCCACCCTTGCAAGAATTTCATAAACACAACTCAAACTCACTAACATTCAACTAATTCTGCTAGGATTATTTAGGAGTGTAACTCGGGTGGCTTTGGGCGAGTTAAGAGGTTGCTCAAGCCCAACCTAAGTTGTGCTGAGAATTGCCCAGGCCTACTCAAGTCCGAATTGTAATCCAAGGTTGTCTGTCCAAGTCTGATCTGAGTAAAACCCGAATTGGCCGAGTTGTCTGAATTGCATATAAATTTCTTTTTTTTTTTTTTTTTTTTTTTGGGTTTTGTTTTTGTTTTAGTGCAGCTAAGTTAATTCATTTGTTAAAATTAGATTATTTACAATTTTTTTTTTAATAAAATCATTAATAACATCAAAACAAATAATTTATATAATGTAAGAGAAATGTCGAGATCATGGTCTTTACAATTTATGAGTGAGGAAAAATGAATAAGTAAAATTTTGTATTGTGTTATTTGTGTATATAATAAATATTCAATATGATCTAATGATTTAAATTACTTTAATATCATCTAATGGCTAATAATTTGTATGTATATTTAATGTTTTTATATATTTATATATATAATTTGGGTTTTAGGTTTCGGGTTGATTGGATTGTTTGATATCTTTGTCTAAGCCTGTCCAAATTTAATTCAAGCTTCTGAATTTTTGCCCAAGCTTGTACCAAATTTAAAAATATTTTTTCCATGCCCAAAAAAATTTCGGATTGGGCTTAGGTTGCTTGGATTAAGTCCGCCCAAGTTGTGCCCCTAGGATTGTTGAGGCTGAAGAATAGGGAACTAAGTAACTTTGACTACTAGATTTTAGACCTATCATCAAAGATAATGATTCAATTACATGACCCAATAGATCCATATTGTAGTCCTTGTTTAACAAATTTGAGATCTACCAAACTATCCTTGATTACTAAAACCTAATAAATCATAGATAGGCCAACAGCATACTAACTAATAAGAAAACAAAAATAAAGGTTTAGTTAGATCAACCCTAAACTTGATTGCAATGTGCAAAGGTGTAAATAGGCCCAATGTTAAATTAGCAATTTGCCTATTTTCTTGTGTCTTGCCTAGGCTAGCATCAATAATAGGAACTCAAGCAAAATTATTTTGTTACATGAGGTGTGATTTGTGCCCTCAAACTCTGACTGCTCTACATACTCCGACTGCTCATTTCCTTTGAACATTTCTGTTTGGGCTCTTACCTCATGATAGTGGTCAAGATAGGAAGAGGTAATAATGAAAATCTAGATTATATATACATTGTTACTTGCAACATTGTGTTTAGCAACATATATTCTTAAAGTCGCACTGTATCAATTAAAGGTTGAATATCATCTGTTTTGGCTGTCTCGTGCTGGTTTGCACATGGTTGATACTAATGTATGTATGCTTTGGGATTTGGCAGGGATTCCGGTACGTGGCATCTGGTCCCATGGTTCGGTCCTCGTACAAGGCGGGTGAATACTACATCAAATCCATGATAGAATCAGATCGTGCGGCAACCTCTTCGTAGATTGCTGTCTTTGATTAAAGTTTGATTTTTTGTCTTTTCCCCCCTCCTATACCACATAATATTCAACATTAATTCCTTGTAACTTTTATGAAAGATTAGATGGTTCAACCACAGTGTGAGCTTTTAAGGACCTGTCCTGTAGTGAATTGACAGTCTGGAGAATGTTCCATAAGAGCCTATTGGCATGCCCCCCCCCCCTCCTTTGGTGTTGGATGAGCTTGTGCTCCTGAGATCACCATTTCTAATGGGTTATAATCATAATAAATTCAGTTGTATATCCAAATTCAGTGTAATTATCAATTTGTATTGTGCTGTGTTTCTTCAATGTTTGCTCTTTTTTCTTTTCTTTTTTATCCTGGTTAATGATTGCAGTGAGTCTTTCGAGAACTTTGTCCTCTTGGAGTAGTTTATGTGGTGAACTTGATAATTATTAATTTATGTAATTAGGTTCATTTTTAAACTAGTGTTTTAAAAAACAACTAATAAAATGTCAGTTATTGACTGTGTTGAATTTCACTCTAACGAACGAGTGGTGGTTTTTTCTGGTGCTGCCAGCCTTTCTTGCTCTGTGGAGCTCTTTTACCAAATTCAGGTTGGTATGAAACAAAATCCCCAAACTCAAATTGTTTTAAACTTATTTCTTAAATTTAAATTGTTGCATGAAAATGAAAGTCACTTGAGATAAAGTACCAATCATAAGAAGGAAACAAGGGACGTATCATCAATTGTTTAACTCTATAACTAAGCCATTTATTCACAGAAGCAATAAAGAGAGTGAAGCAGTAGATGGAAAATCTTTTTGTTTTGATATAATTGGGGTGTTTGGGAAGAATTTTTTTTAGTTTTTTTTGGCTAAAATAGCATTAAAAGACAAAATAGACTAAAATAGTCAACAAGACAAAATGTAACATCAAACATATAATTATTCAATTTTTTATCTCACAAACATTACATCCAACTATAAAAAAATCCAACTATCTTTCCAAACACAAATTTTAGCCTCCTAAAATAGTCAAAAATTAAATTAACTTACTAAAATAACAACTTTCTAAGCACTCACAATATGAACTTATTTTAAGTGAGGTTTTCAAAATCTAATTTTGTTCGAATTCTAGTTCTTATTCATCTTGTCAAACTCTGTTTCCCTTCTGTTTTTTTTTCTTGATTCTATTTTCTAATATGTGATGCTATATTGAAGGCAATTGGTTTTTGGTGGAGAAACTATTAGACTATAAAGGCGATGAGAGATAACAGACAAGAGAATTATGCCCAGGCTGACACTTGACTCATTAGGGATTACCCAAGATCTAATTTTAGTACCACCTTATAATTATTGAAAACATTCAATCCAAAACTAATTGCTAGCGAGTGGAAGGATCTCTCGAATGTACAAATGTGAAAACCAATCTCTAATATGTAAAGTGATTATACAATGATTAGGATGCAAACATGGAATATAAGAAGTGATCACGAAAACAAAAGAAAGAAATATCCTTTTTGACAATGTTCTTCTTAAATGCCTTTTTTCTTTTTCTCTTTTTTTTTTTTTTTTCATTTTTTTGGATTGGATTTGTTACAATAGCTAGATTAGCTTTGGTATATCACTCCATTCCTAATTAACTAGTATTTCCATTTGACCTAGTTGGGATAAAGCCTTTTACGCTGTGTTTGGTTAAGGAATTTACCAGGGAATTTGAAAAAGGAAAGGAAAAATGTGTGTGAAACTAGATGAAATGTAGATATATTTTATTCACATTTTACCTATCTTTTTCCTTTTCTTTTTTAAATCTCTTTCCAAATCTTCCAACCAAATACAGTGTCAGTAATAATGTGATATTTGATCATAGCTTTCGATAGGGATGTAATCCGTTCGGTATGGTCGGTATTTAGGTAAAATTTTCTACTGAACCGATAATGTTGGTTTCATTATTTTGAGTATTGATAAAGATTGCTTCTCTCACCAAATCACACAAATTGAAATGGTTTAGTTCGTTGCAGTTTAATTGGTTTAGGATCTTTCAAATTTAAGGCACTTTTAAGTATAGTCACTAATTGACATAAAAACATTGAATTAGTCAATTGTCCACCACTTTGAACATATTTAATCCATCCATTTGATAAGTACTTTCCAATTCCTTGATTAACAAAAATACAAAAAAAATAAAAATAAAAATAATAAATACCAAGACTTTAAAAATAATGAGTTGGAGTTACCATTATAGAAAATAATACTAACTTAGGTCATAGGGATGATGAGGTTTATTAATTGATGTTAATAGTTTATTTATTATACTTATTAATATTATTATATTATTAGATTATATATATATATATTATATAAATATAATATATGTTGAAGTGGTGGGTTTTGGTTTAATTCGGTGCATAAAGTGTTTGAATCGGTATCAAATCAAAAATCAAATTGAAAAATCACATACCAATTCTTGTTAAAAAGTAGACTAAATATAGTTGGTTTGGTCCAGTTCAATCAATTTGATTTTTCTTACATCCATGACTTTCGTTATACTTTTTTCTCATCAATAATTTTTTAACTAATAAAAAAAAGAAAGAAAGAAAAGAAAAAAAAACTAGCATTGCCATTATGTATATGATATCTTGATTCCGTTGACTCCCATATGTGATAAGAGCTTGCTGAATTACATACCAAAAGTCACATGACTTGCATCTGAAAATGAAATCTTGTATCTTAAAAAACGTACATCGCTTTGTCTTAATTTTCTTTACTACCCGATGTACTATTTTTAAATTTAAAAACAGTATTTTAACACATGGTATATAATTTGTGACAAATCAAACATTTTTGAAGATAGAAGAATTCCGTGCCATGCAAGCTCATGTTCTACACGAGCACACAATTCTAGGAGACTTGTTTAACAACACAGCAGTGGCAACACATCTCCTTCTCTCCTTCCTCTTCCGTTGGCCCAAAGCTCCTCCAGCCATAGCCGTTTGCTGATGTGTCGAATACGTGGACAACTGACTTCAATCTCGAGATATCGCCTGCCACACGATACCCTGCCAAGAAGTACAAGTGAGTCCCAATTGGTGCCATTGTGAGGTACACTCGTTCCTCTGTGGCATCATCTGATGTGGAAGTCGGAGAGGACAAAGTGTCCAAATAGGACCCATCAACAACATTCCATATATTTTCTTTCCTATCATAGGCATCAATATGTCCCTTCCATACTTTCAAGCAATCCCCAGAGCTATAAAGCTTTTCATCAACCGCGACAATTTGATTCGGTGGCACATCCAACGCCCACATCCTTGCCTCGAGTTCCCACTTGGCATGCCCCGTGTCGTACACCTCAGCTGAGCTCCTTGCCATGTTGTATGGTCCTAGCCTATCACCGCCCCCTCTCTCAGCAAACCCCCCTACCACGTGGATTTTCCCTTGCCATGTCACACCTACACATTTGTATCTCAATGTGCTCATGTTAGGCAATGGCTTCCATTCATCCAAGGCCGGGTCATAAACCTCGGCCGATGAAATTCCCCTAGCACTTCCTAACGTCGATTGCCCTCCCGCAACATAAATTTTTCCACCGGTCACTGTGCACGCAAAATCGAATCGGGCCGTGCCTAGCGGCGCGCACTTGAACCACACGTTCGCACGGACATTGTAACGAAGCACTGATGGGAGGACCTCTAGGTCGACTTCAATGATTTCATCAAGGTCCCTTCCTACCATTTTATGGCGGAGCAGGCCACCTATTACGTATATCGAGTCACCTATGGAGACCATGGAAAAGCCCTTAAGCACGTGGTTCTCTATCCCGGGAATCGTGCTGACTCGGTTCCATGAGTTGCTCGATGGGTCATAGGAATCAATCCGGTTACACAAGCTCATGTTAGGGGTAGCATCCCTTGTGCAAAATGCAGCGTAGACTCGATACTGGTCTGAGGAAGTATTTTGAGAATTTTCTCGTGGCGGAAGAGAAAATTGGGGTGGGGAAGATAAGGAACCCATGAAAACTAGATTTGAGATAGAGGGTTTGGTAATATTGGAGAATCGGGAGCGAGTTTGTTTTGTGTTCTTTGTATGTGGGTGTGAAAGGCGAGGGAATTGGTGAGTGTAAACTGGCGGAGATTATATAGGAGAAAGAAACGGAGAAAGCTAAGGTGGGGTTAGCAAGAGAAGGTTTAGATAGTTAGTTTGTATCGAATGTGAATTAGAAGAGAGACTAGTAAGTTGGCAAAGCATCGATCTTGGGGTTTTTGGAGGAGATTAATCCTAAGGATTTTCTTGTTAGTGGTGATGGAAATGTTTGAGTATTGGTGGATTTCAAGGCAAACAATGTTTGTTATTTTTGGTAATAACTTATAACACTAACCAAAAAAAAAAAAAGAAAAAAAAAAAAAAGTCATTTAGGGGTTGTTTGGGATAAACTAAATAAGTGCACTTTTTGACTTTTTATAAAATATGAGTTGGATATGGGTTAAGTTTGAAGTGATGTAATAGAGAGGTGATGTGACTTAAATAAGATGATATGATAGATAGTGACTTTTTGACTTTTTAATTTTTTAAGATTATGCCAAGCCAAACCTTATTGAATCTGGTGGATCTCTCATTATGGGTTTAATAAGCTTGTTTATGTGCTATATTTGTGATATGATTTATGTTTTTCAGAAGATTTTTATTTTTTAAATTACAGAACAACAATGTTATAAACCATTATCATTTAATTGGGATAGATGGTCTAATAGTTAAGGGATTGAACGTGAGAGTTTTTTTAAATTTAATTTTGAGGCGTTTTATTATATATATATATATATATATATATATTTTAAATCACTAGTTTCTTCCTCAAGGCTTAAACTAGAAGATTTGCGTTGATAAGGTTGAACTCATGTATTTGATTGTTTTGTTTGGTACATATTATTACAAGCAGAGATAATAATCTAAACACAAAATTCTTTCAAAATTCCTAATAACTAATTTTTTTTTAAGATTATTTTTCTCATAAATGTAATAAAAAGATTACACCAAACATTTTGCACAAATCATGTGATGTACTAATTTGGTTTATTTAATCATCCAAACAAACTAACTGAACAATTAAGGATTGAATTAAGTAAATAGGAGTGCCTTGTTGAAATTGAGAGCCACTTGTCTTTAGTGCTTTTTTGCCTACTCTTGTTCCTTCCATAAACTACCAAAAACATTTGAAAGGAACTCAATCATAGTACATTGACTTAGTGAAGAACTAGGAGTGTTTGTACATCCTTAACTAAAACAATTTTTTGGCACATTGTTAGATCTTTTAGTATAAATTCTAAGTAAATTTTTGTCGGTAACTTTTCATCTGGAACTGAGGTATCTATATATATCATAGCCAAAGTCCAATATTTTTATTTATTTATAACTAAGGCCGAAGTTTTAATTTACATATAATATTTGAATTCACAACGTTAGATAATAGAAATGTTATGAGTTATGAAAAAATATCTTGAAATGAGTTGTATAACATAGATTTAAAATTGATGTAATATGGGTCCGTCAAAAATGATTGGGATCTGTAAATATGTTTTTAAATTATTTTGTTTCTAAATTTGTAGTATTATTTTAAGCCTAATTTAAGCCATCTAGACTGATCAATCAAAAGTCACCTGTAATGGCAAGGGCTTTGACCAGTCAATAGTCTGGCTAGGTGTCACACACCGGCAATACATAAGTCCTGACAAAGATATGTAAGTGTGATAACTCTCACCTCTGATTACTATTAAACTGTGATTGAACATGATAAGTAACTGATTATGATGAAATCCTAAACTGATTGCATGAGTATGTTGTTTGATTGCATTTCTATCTGTTTATCAATTGATTGATCTGTTCATGTTTTAAGTTTTGAACTGCAAATTGAAGGCCTTATCGGCGGCCGAATCAGAAATTGATTAGTGTTTTATGCTAATTAGAATTTATGTGATTTTATGGTAGGTTTAATTTAAATTTGATTTGGAACGATTAAATTAGATTAAATAATATTAATTACATTAGTTCAAGTTTATTACAATTTTGCCATTGAGTGGCCATTACCTATACACTTGTTTGGGACTTAATTAGTACATTCCATACATCATTTCATCATCGTTCTTGAGACCAAAACCGTGAGCAAGAGAGGGAGAGTAGGAGAGCTTTGGTTTCAACAAGAGTTGCTTGGAGAATTAGAAGAATTGAAGAGTAGATTGCATATTTGAGCTTCTAGACTTGAAATTGAGGACCTAAGGTAGGATATTTATCCTTTAGTTTATGAATTCAAGTTGGTTCTTGCATGGTTCATGAGTCATTAGTGATCTAAGTCAAGAATTGGTTTAAAGAGTTGATTTGAGTAGCTAAATCATGCATGCATATACACATTGTTGAGTTTTGAGGTTGATTTCATGGAAATCCTCACATGCATGTCTATATTCTAGCTATGGTCCATGAATTCATCATGTTTTTGAGTGAATTGACTCATTTGATCAAGTATTTGAAGCTTTGATTTCAATTAAGCACTTGCATGTTACATATACATTATGTTTTTGGGCTTTGATTTTGCAAATTGATCTTTGAAACATGTCATATTATGAGTTTTAAAGTGTTTTCCAGAAAATTGGCCCAAAAGAATCGAATTTGATGCTTTAAATGTTGAATTTGAGCTTGGAGGTTCAATCTGAAAATTTCAGATTTTAGACCCACCCTCGAGCGTACACTCTGAGTACACGCATCCCGCTCGAGCGGGGAAAGTAACGCTTGAGCGTGAAATGCGTGTATCCAGTACTTTTCATATGTTTACAGTCCGCTCGAGCGAGGAAATGAACGCTCGAGCGAGGACTTGTGTCTCACGCTCGAGCGGAGGTCGAGCGTCCGTCGAGCGTGAATTGCATGCATCCAGTACTTTTGCCTGAGTTTGCAGTTCGCTCGAGCGGGGAAAGTCACGCTCGAGCGGAGCTCCTTTGTTTGCATGTCCGCTCGAGCGTAGAAAGCCACGCTCGAGCAAGACTCCTGTTTTCTGAAAATTTTGAAAAGTGCTTTAAAATGCATTTTTGCATCCTCTTTCCATCCTAGGCATTCCTAGGCCATGTTTAAGGCATCTTAATGAGATATTGATGTAGAACCACACCGAGTCAAGATAGGGACTAAGTCATTGATTCCCAAGTGTGTAACTTAGTGTGTGTTCATTCTGTAACTGTGTAGGGTTGGCATTCGAGGACGCTCATTAGCCGCTTATAGCCCAGTGCTCTGTGAGTAACAATGTTGTAAAGATATGTTCAATTATAAATATTTTCTGAATGATCAACTGTTCTGTTTACTAAAACGTTATTGTTTAATGAATGAATGATTGTCCTATTTGTAAACTGTATTCGTGGCATCCTTCGTAACTTATTGTTGCTGTACTGTTACTGCTACTGTCACAGAGATCTCTATCGGTTCCCTTGTTTGGAACCATTACTGTTTACTGTTATGATAGCCATCAACTGACTGTTCGGTCTGTTAAGACCTACTGTACTGTTTTGCTATGGGATGTACCACATATGACTGCTATGGTTTCTAAATGACTGATATGACTGCTTAATGACTGAAAGGACATTCATTCTTAACCTCTTTACACAACTGTTATTCACTGGGCTTTAGCTCACTGTTTATATATCTATGTAGGTGTTCAGGCATCGGATTGATGCTAGGAGCGTCGGGTTAACTCCCTTTTTGTCAAGCCAACTATTGTGCCTCACCTCGAGGTTCCAAGTTTGACCGAGCTAAGGTTGCTTTAGGGTGTCTCAGTTCCACCATTCCATCTCTGTTTTGTAATACTGTTTAAGACTTGTACTGTACTCTGAATGTTTGTACATATGGTGTATATATGTTTTGCTTATGAATGTGAATATGTTCGGAAAAGTCTTTTGCATACAGACTGTCACAGCTCATTGGACATCTTTTATTACTGTTTTGGCTTCCGCCAGCCCCTGTACTCTGTATTACTGTCTTTACTATCAAGCAGGCCTTCGGTAATCACGGATTACTGGCCGGTTACGGTGCTAAACCCATAGGGGTGGGTTTGGGTCGTGACAAAGTGGTGTCAGAGCGATATCAAACCACGAGTTATACCGCATACACGTGTCCAAATGAGCTATAGGATGTCCTAGAAAATTGAATAGGGCATTGTATGAGCGTTGAAAAAGTGTGTGTGGCCATGACATGAATATATGTACTAATGCGCTAATGTGTTTAAGTAAGCAATTCCTATGTTTATTATTGCTGTATCGTATATAGTGAAATGGACAATGCAAGGAATGCCGATGAAATAGAATCATCTGATACTAGAATGGCAAGATTAGAAAGAACAGTTGAACTATTGACTGAGGCCTTGAGGCTACAACAGAACCAACAGCCCCCACCTTCTCCAGTTCAACCTGAACAGAATGTTACTGAGGATATAATTGCTCTAACATAGAAGTTCAGCAAAATGAAACCACCATCCTTCCAAGGAGGCCTGGAACCATTAAAGGCTGAATCATGGGTTCTAGAGACTGAAAAACTATTTGAAGTGTTTCCGTGCTCCGAAGCACATAAGGTATTACTGGCTACCTTCACCTTACAAGAAAAGGCCAGAAGGTGATGGATGCTTATCTGTGACACCGACAATGTTATGACTTGGGCTCAGTTTAAGGGAGCCTTCTTTGAGAAATATTTTCCTCAATGTGTCAGGGATCGTAAAGTAACTGAATTTGAACAGTTAAAGCAGGGTACCATGTCAGTAGCAGAATATGAATAAAAGTTTACAGAACTCGCTAGATATGCACCACACATGGTGAACACTGATTACAAAAAGGCCAGGAAGTTTGAAGGCGGCCTTAATGTTAAAATACTTGACAAAATCAATGTTCTGAAACTACTGAAATATGTAGATGTTCTTGACTGAGCAATAATAGCCGAGTCGAATATCGAGGCACTGAAATAGACTAAAACACCGGGAACTGAATGGCACGGTAAGAGACGAGGCTTTAAGTTCAAGAAAGGCCAAAATAACTCATCGAATAAGAAGCAAAATACAGGGTCAACGACCAATTCCAGCCAGGGAAGTGGTTCCATACCATCATGCTCCGAATGTGGGAA